TGGCAAAGTGGCGGGGAGGCGCAGCGGCCTGGGGGTCAGGAGCCTTGTCCTCTCCCGTCCCTTCTCTGGGCCTGGGTGTGAGGTGGGAGCCCAGCCAGACGTGTCGCGGCCCGATTGGATGACATCGTGCGTTTCAAGTTGTTTCCGCTCCACCTGACACCAGGCCCTCGGTAGCTGCTAGCATTTCAGCGGTTCCATTTTACGTTGGTCCTGGCGCCCCTGAACAGGGTGTAGCAGTGGAGATGGTGGGTGAGGGCCCTGAGGACAAGAGGTGGGAAGGAGATTAGCATGGACAGGGCCGACAGAAGGCAAGGGAGAGCGACCCTCGGTTCTAGGAGCTGTGCTGGGGGCGCGACTGGATAGGCGATACAGAAGGAAGAACAGACACTCCGCAAGCTAATGTACATACTGTGCTCATTTCCTGGAGGTGCCGTAGCAAATTACCACAGACTTCGTGGCTCAAAACAACAGAAATGTACTCTCTTGCAGTTCTGGAGGCCGGAAGCCTGAAATCAATATCACTGAGCTGAAATCAAGGTGTTGGCAGAGTTGGTTCCTCCTACAGGCTTTGAGGGACAGACTGCTCCATCCCTGTCTCCTGGCTTCTGCTAGCCGCGGGCCATCTTTGGTGCTCCCTGGCTTGTAGATGCATCACTCCAAACTCCATCTTCACTGGCGTTCCCCTTGTGTATCCTCACATGGGCTTCTTATAAGGACACCGTCATTGAATTTAGGGCTGCCCTAATCCACTCTGACCTCATTTTAACTAATTACATATGCAAAGACCCTATTCCAAATAAGGTCACGTTCTGAGGTTCTGGGTGGGCATGAATTTTGGGGGCACACTACTTAACCCAGTACATGTATTAAAAAAAAAAACTTGGGGCCGGCCCCATGGTGTAGCGGTTAATTGCTCGAGCTCTGGTGCTGGCGGCCGGGGTTTAGATCCCAGATGCGCACTGATGCACCGCTTGTCAGGCCATGCTGTGGCGGCGTCCCACATAAAGTAGAGGAAGATGAGCACGGATGTTAGCCCAGGGCCAGTCTTCCTCAGCAAAAAGAGGAGGATTGGCATCCGATGTTAGCTCAGGGCTAGTCTTCCTCACCAAAAAAAAAAGAATCTTGGTTTTGGAGCCGTGGTATTTCCACTGAGGAATGTTAGCTCCCAGCGCTGAGTAGGCCCATGCTTGGAGCAGATGCCCAGAAAATGAGGAAAGGAAGACCTTGGAAAGAGTGGAGAGTGTTGTGCTCTGGCTGGAGGGGGCTGACTGTGGCTTTTCCACTTTCTTCCACATTGAAAAAAGAAGGAAGCCTGGCCCTCTGCTGTAGGGACTGAAAAGTTTCAGTGTATGAAAAATTTGGCATTCTATGCAGTTTTGTCATTGGTAATGTTTTTAAGAGCCTAAACTGAGGCAGATTTAATTCTGTGATAAACAAAATAAATTAAATTTGGCTAGCATTTTAAAATAATCTTTTAATTTTAAAATAGTTTTAGATTTACAGGAAAGTTGCAAGGATAGTACAGATAGTTCCCAGACACCCTGCACTTAGTTTCCCCTGCTATTAAAGTACATTAGTATGGCACATTTGTCACAACTAATGCACCAGTATTGACACGTCATTATTGATTAAAGGCATACTTTATTCAGATTTCCTTAGTTTATCCCTAATGTCCTTTTTTTTGTTCCAGGAGCCCATCCAGAATTATATTTAGTCATCATGTCTCCTGAGGCTCCACTAGACTGACAGTTTCTCAGATTTTCTTTGTTTTTGGTGACCTTGACAGTTTTGAGGAGTGCTGGTTAGGTAATTCATTGACTGTCCTTCAGTTTGGGTTTGTCTGATGTTTTTCTCGTGGTCAGACTCGGGTTGTGGGCTTTAGGGAGGAAGACCGTAGAGGTGAGGTGCTGTCTCATCACATCCTACCAACAGCACATACTGTCAACATGACCTGTCACCATTGGTGTTGACCTTGACACCTGGCTGAGGCAGAGGTGTCAGGCTCCTCCACTGTAAGGTGACTCCCCGCCTTCCATACTGTGCTGTTGAGAAGGCGATCACTGTGTGCAGCCCACACTTAAGGAGTGGAGAATTATGCTCCACCTCCTCAAGGAGGAGGTATCTACATAAATTATTTGGAATTCTTCTGCATGGGAGATTTATCTCTTCTCTCCCATTTAGTTATTCACCAGTCGTTTATTTATATCAGTATGGACTCATGGATGTTTATTTTATACTTTGGGCTATGATCCAGTGCCGCGTTATTTTGTTGCTCAAATTGTCCGGCTTTGGCCATTGGGGGCTCTTTCAGTTGGCTCCTGTGTTCCTTTGGCTTGTCCCCATAAATGTAGGGTTTTTGGACTTTGTTGTTGTTTGAGCCCTTCTTTACTTTCTTACACTACAAGATGCTCCAGACTCATCTTGTATATTCCCTGCCCCAGTCCTAGAATCTGCCATTTCTCCAAGTAGCCCTGGTTCGTTTGGTTGTAGAATGGTGTTAGAATCCAAGTTTTGGGCACTGGATGTCATTGCTTTAGGCTCTCTCAGCAGACAGAGGTAGGAATATATGTGTTTATACTAACCTGTGTATACTTTTTTTTTCTTTTTTTCTTTTTTTTTGGTGAGGAAGATTGGCCCTGAGCTAACCGCTGTGCCCATCTTGCTCCATTTTTTGTATGTGGGACGCTGCCACAGCATAGCTTGATGAGCAGTCAAACCTGCGAACCCTGGGCTGTCAAAGCAGAGCGTGCAAACTTAACCACTGTGCCACTGGGCTGGCCCCTATGTATACATTTTTTTATTGTTAGTGCCGTTGAGTCAATTCCAACTCCTAGCGACCCTGTGTCCAGTAGAGCAGAACCCTGCCCAGTCGTTTTGTGCCATCCTCTCACCTTCCGGTACTATATCAAATGCTGCTGTCATAGGGTTTTCATGGCCAATTTTTTCAGAAGTGGGTGGCCAGGTCCTTCTTCCTAGTCTGTCTAGTCTGGAAGCTCCGCTGAAACCTGTCCACCATGGGTAACCCTGATGGTATTTGAAATACCAGTGGCATAGCTTTCAGCATACAGCAACATACAGCCACCACAGTATGACGACCAACAGACGGGTGGTGTGGTTCCCTGACCGGGAAATGAACCTGGGCCACGGTGGTGAGAGCGCCGAGTCTTAACCACTAGACTGCCAGGGCTGGCTTGTGTATACGTACATATCTGTAATTTTATATGTTAGCCATATCGAGCTCAACGTGACTTCATGCTGATGTCTCCTGCTGTACTCCATACCACCTGGTTCATTCTAGCCCTCCCTCCTTGCTTGTCTGTAACCTCCTTCTCCAACAGTGAGAAACCTGGCTCCTGCCATCCTCCTCACATTTACGTAATTGTTCAGTTCTGGTATTCATGTATAGTAGTTTCAGAATTGTTAACCCATGCCCCTGTGGCAAACAACTTTACTAACTAGAATACAGTGGTTGTGTGTGGTTCCTTTTGTAGTCTTACAGTCTCTACTCTTCCAAAATTCCTTAAGTCAGCACCTCTCCTCTCCACTCCCCTCCATGAGGTTTTGTCATATATTTGTAATATAGTTCTGTTCTTTTGTCACAATCTACATTCCATCGTGGGCTTCCCCCATCTCCTAAATGATTTTTATTTGCATACGTTAAGGTTCACTCTTTGTGCTGTAAGAGTCTGTAGGTTTTGACAAATGCATAGTGTCACATATCCACCATCACAGTATCATACAGAATAGGTTTACACTCCAAAACGTCTCTTGTGTTTCACCTATTCAAACCTGCCCCCCTCCCAAAACCTCTGGGAACCACTGATCTGGTTTTTGTCACTATAGTTTACCCTTTTATAGAATGTCATATAAATGGAACCATATAGTATATAGCCTTTCAGACTGGCTCCTTTCACTCAGCAGTATGGATTTAAGAGTCATCAATGTTGTTGCATGGATTGGTTCATTCTTGTTGTCACAGAGTCATATTCCATTATGTGGATGAACCACAGTTTGTTTATCCACTCACCAATTGACGGACATCTTGGTTGCTTCCAGTGTTTCGCGATTATGAATAAAGCTGCTATAAATATCAAATGCAGGTTTTGTGTAGACATAAGTTTTCATATCAATTGGGTAAATACCTAGTGGCACACAATTACTAGATCATATGGTAAAACTATATTTAGCAACTGCCAAACTGCCTTCCGAAGTGGCTGTACCATTTTGCATTCCCACCAGCAATGAATGAGAGTGCCTATTGCTCTGCATCCTCGCCAGCAATTGGTATTTTGTCTGTTTTTTGGATTTTAGCCATCCTAATAGGTATACAGAGATATCTCATTATTGTTTTAATTTGCATTTCCCTAATGACAAAAGACATTGAGCATCTTTTCATATGCTTATTTGCCATCTGTATGTATTCTTTGGTGAGGTGTCTGTTCAGATCTTTTGCCCGTTTTTTAATTGGGCTGTTTGTTTTCTTACTGTTGAGTTTTAAGAGTTCTTTTTATATCTGTATACAAGTTGTTTATCAGATATGTGATTTGCAAATATTTTCTCCCGGTCTATGACTTGTCTTTTCATCCTCTTAACAGTATCTTTCCCAGAACAAAAGCTTTTTTAATTTTAACGAGGTCCAACCTCTCCATTTTTTCTTTCATGGATTGTGCTTTTGGTGTTGTATCTGAAAACTCGTCACCAGACCCAAGGTCACACAGATTTTCTCCTGTTGCCTTGTGGAGGTTTTATAGTTTTGCATTTTACACTTAGGTCTGTGGTCCATTCTGAGTTAATTTTTGGGTGAGGTGTGAGGTTGATGTCTAGGTTCATTGTTCCAGCATCGTTTGCTGAAAATCTCCATTGAATTGTCTTTGCACCTTTGTCAATTCCGCTAGCATTTTAAAATTGATATCCTTTTCCTCTCCACTTACCTGAAGTTCTGTAAAGAGTTATGTTGACAAAGGGTAAAGTTCTCATTTCCTTTTCTGCTTGTCTTACAGCAAGACCACTGGTGCAGACCTTGCCTTTAAGAACCGCCGTCAACAATGGCACCGTCTTACCAAAGAAACCTAGTGGCTCCCTACCGTCCCCCTCGGGGGCCAGGAAAGAAACTGCTGTGCACGCGGCAACCAAAAGGTAGGCTCCAGGTGCCTTAAATGAACTCTAAAAGCAGCTCCATCTCAGGTTTTAAAACAAGTATTACTTTTTTGTATGACACTTTACAATTTCTCATCTGAGTTAAAGCTTGTATAAGTACAATATTTGCTGTGTTGCCGTAATGGGAACCATATAGATTTATTATTCTGCTTTGTTTAGATTTAATCATATTGTCTTTGAAATCTCGTTAGCTAAAACCACAGTGCGCCGTTTTGTACTTAAAGTTCTGTTTTGAAAAACAAATGGGAGAATAACCTGTGTAGAAATAAATATGCTGTTCTCAAGTCCGTACTTGGCACATAGCAAAATGCAGAGTGCCACACCGACCTTAAATTTTTATCTGTAAAATTTGGAAAAGCTCGTACTTTTAAGTTGTGCCTAACAGTAGACTTCTAGAAATTGAGGTTGTCTGTCAGAGCATAGTTTGCTCTTAACTTTTCAATAATTTCATAATTGTCATATTAAAATTTTATATTTTGTATACCAGGCCACTTTTTCTAAATTTTTAGGCTCTGGAAAATTAAATACTTTCTTTAAAGCCTTAAGGAAATTCTTCTGCAACACTGCCTCATGGGCTTGTTATAAGAACTTGTAGAGTTCATTAAAACACTAACTGCCTTCCGTGTGCTGGGGTGTGAATGGGCTTCTGCCTTGCGCTGGGGAGACCCAGCGAGCCTGTAAGATTTGGTGCTGGGTTGTGACTTGGAATGAAAATGTAGCGATCCCATCTTATCTTTTAAATACATAGTGTTTATACATAATGGCCTATCGTTCACCAAGGAAATTTTCATTGTGTTTCATCAGATAGAGTTTCATGTACTTATTGTTTGTGAATTTCAAGAAAATTGGTTTTGCAAGGCTTCTTAGAACTGTAAAATGAAATTCTTGGCCTCATTTTCATCCCTATGTAATACTTGTTTGAATCATTTATTTGTAATCAACATGAAATGACCTCTGGATTCTAATTGGCAGCAGTAGATATAGACTATATTTTATTCATCTAGATGTTGTAAGATTGACGAGACTGACTTTTTTTTTAAGATTTAGGTTGCCATCTGTTATGACTGCTTTCTTTCTTTTATTGTGGTAAAAACACTTAACATTAAATTTACCATCTTAATCATTTTTAACAGTTCAGTAGTGTTAAGTATATTCACATTGTTGTGCAACAGATCTCTAGAAATTTTTCATCTTATAAAACTGAAACTCTATACCCAATAAACATTAATTCCTCCCTCCAGCCCTTGGCAACCATCTTTTTCCTTTCTGTTTCTATGACTTTGACTACATTACATGCTTCATGTGAGTGGAATCATATAGTATTTGTCCTTTATGTGTGGCTCGCTTATTTTGCTTAGCATAACGTCCTCAAGTTTCATCCATATTGTAGCATGTGACAGAATTTTCTTCTTTTTTAAGGCTGCATAATATTTCATTGTATGTATATACAACATTTTCTTTATTCATCTGTTGATGGACATTTGGGTTGCTTCCACCCCTTGGCTATTGTGAATAATGCTGCAGTGAACATGGGTGTGCAAATATCTCTTCAAGATCCTGCTTTGAATTCTTTCATATATATACCCAGAAGTGGGTTTGCTGGGTCATACGGTAATTCTATTTTTAATTATTTGAGGAATCTCCATAATGTTTTCCATAATGGCTGCCCCATTTTACATTCCCACCAACAATGCACAAGGATTCCAATTTTTCCTCATCCTCACCAACACTTGTTTTCTGTCCATTTGAAAGTGGCTGTCCTAATGGGTGTGAGGTGATATCTCATTGTGGTCTTTGATTTGCATTTCTGTTATGATTGGTGATATTGAGCATCTTTTCATATGCTTGTTGGGCATTTGTATTCTTCTTTGGAGAAATGTTTGTTCAAGTTCTTTGCCTATTTTTTAATCAGGTTATTCATTTTGTTCTTGTTGAATTGTCGAAGTTCCTTGTGTGTTCTGGATATGAACTCCTTATCAGATATATGATTTGCAAATATTTTCTCCCATTCCGTATGTTGCCTTTTCACTCCTCTGATTGTTCCCTTTGATGCACAGTTTTTAAGTTTGATATAGTCCTATTTGTCTATTTTTTCTTTTGATGTCATATCCAAGAAATCATTGTCAAATTCGATATCCTGAAGCTTTTCCCCTATGTTTTCTTCTAGGAGTCTTACAGTTTTAAATCTTATGCTTAGATCTTTAATCCATGTTGAGTTAGTTTTTGTATATAGTGTAAGGTTAGGGTTCAACTTCATTCTTTTGCCTGTGGATATTTAGTTTTCTTTACACCATTTGTTGAAAAGACTATCTTTTCCCCATTGTGTAGTCTTGGCACCCTTGTCAAAAATCATTTGGCTGTATATGCAAAGGTTTATTTCTGGGCTCTCTAGTCTGTTCCGTTGGTCTGTATATTATCTGCCTTTCACACCATCTTGAATACTGTTACTTTGTAGTATGTTTTGAAATCAGTAAGTGTGAGGCCTCCAACTTTGTTCTTTTTCAAGGTTGTTTTGGCTATTTGGGATCCCTTGAGATTCCTTATGAATTTTAGGATGGTTTTTTCTATTTCTGCAAAAAATGCCATTGGTATTTTGATAGGGATTGCATTGAATCTATAGATCACCTTCGGTAGTATAGACATTTTAACAATATTAAATCTTCCAATCTGTGAACATGGGATGTGTTTCCATTTATTTATGTCGTCTTTGATTTCTTTTAGCAATGTTTTGTAGTTTTTTGTGTATAGGTCTTTCACCTCCTTGGTTAAGTTTATTCCTAAGTATTTTATCTTTTCTGATGCTATAGCAAATGGGATTGTTTTCTTAATTTAATTTTTGGATTAGTCATTGTTAGTGTATAGAAATGCAACTGATTTTTGTGTGTTGGTTTTTGTATCTTGCAACTTTGCTGAAATTGTTTATTAGTTTTAAGTTTTCTGTGTGTGGAATCTTTCGGGTTTTCTATGTATAAGATCATGTCATCTGCAAACAGATAATTTTACTTCTTCCTTTCCAGTTTGGATGCCTTTTATTTCTTTTTCTTGTCTAATTGCTCTGACTAGGACTTCCAGTACTATGTTAAATAGAAGTAGTGAAATGGGCATCCTTGCCTTGTTCCTGAGCTTAGAAGAAAAGCTTTTAGTCTTTCACCATTGAATATGATGTTAGCTGTGGGCTTTTCATATATGGCTTTTATTATGTTAAGGTAGTTTCCTTCTATTTCTAATTTGTTGAGTGTTTTTAACATGACAGGGTGTTGAATTTTGACAAGTGCTTTTTCTGCTTTGGTTGAGATGATCATGTGGTATCTGTCCTTCATTCTGTTAATATGGTGTATTACACTGATTGATTTTCATATGTTGAATCATCCTTGCATTCCAGGTGTGAATCCCACTTCGTCATGATGTATAATTCTTTTAATGTACTGTTGAATTCAGTTTGGTAGTATTTTGTTGAGGATTTTTGTATCAGTGTTCGTCAAGGATATTGGTCTGTAGTTTTTCTTGTTATCTTTTTGTCTGGTTTTGGTATCAGAGAAATGCTGGTCTCATAGAATGAATTGGAAGTATTCCCCCACCCCCTTCAATTCTTTGGAAGAGTTTGAAGAGGATTGGTATTAATTCCTCTTTAAATGTTTGGTAGAATTTTCCAGTGATGCCATCTAGTCCTGGGCTTTTCTTTGTTGGGAGATTTTTGATTACTACTTCAATTTCCTTCCAGCTATAGATCTGTTCAGAGTTTTTCTTTATGATTCAGTCTTGGTAGGTTCTATGTATCTATGAATTCATCCATTTCCTCTAAGTTATCCAATTTGTTGGCGTGTATTTGTTCATGTAGTCTCTTATAATCCTTTTTATTTCTGTGACATCAAGTTGTAATGTCCCATCTTTTATTTCTAATTTTAGTTGAGTTTTCTCTCTATTTTTCTTAATCTAGCTGAGGATTTGTCAATTTTGTTGATCTTTTCCAAAAAAAAAAAAAAAAAAAAAATTGATATGAAGATTTTTTTCATATTGTTTTTCAGTTCTCTATTTCATTTATCTCTCTTCTAATCTTTATTGTCTCCTTACTTCTGCTAACTTTTGGGTTAGCTTGTTTTTCTTTTTTCTAGTTCTTTAAGGTATAAAGTTAGGTTGTTGATTTGAGGTCTTTCTTAATATAAGTATTTAGAGCTATAAACTTCCCTCTATAACTTCCCTCTGCTTTCACTGCATCCTGTAAGTTTTAGAATGTTTTGTTTTCGTTTTCACTCATCTCCAGATATTTTCTAAATTCTCTTCTCTTTTCTTCTTTGATCTGTTGATTGTTTGAGTGAGTTGTTTAAGTTTAAGATTGAGTTTTTAAAGTAGCAAATAGTTAATGAAAAAATGAGATTCTTTCCCTTTATTCTTGAAGAAAATAGAATTTTATAATTCATACCTCTTTATATATTTGGAATTTAAATAAAAGAAAATGTTTTTTCAGAGCAAAAAAATAAAAGTAAAAATTTAAATGTACATATAATTTCTAGCTTTCAGTTCACTTCGTGAACTTATGTCCAGCCTCCTTGCTCTTTGATTTGTAGGAGTCTCCACGTTTGGTGAAAAGTAATTTTGAGGTGGTGCAATCATGCCTTTCACCTAATAGACTGTTTTTGGTTTTCTTAGACGTCTCAGGATTAATTAGCACAATTTTTAGAATCCCTGGCAAATTGTATTTTGAGTTCTAGTATTTGAAACATTTGTTCAGGGTAGGATAAGGCTGGGGATGAGATTTCTGAAACTGACCGCAGAAGTCAGGCTGTGCTGTAGAATCTAACTGATACTTTTCCACAGGATGTGAAAAGACAAGGAGGCAATGGTGGATAATTCAGCCCTCTTTAAATCAGTGATGATGGTAGAAATCATTTTCGATGATAATAAACACGTACTAAAGTGCTAGATTTTTAATACCATTATCACTAATCCTCAAAACAACTTTGCAAGGTAGATGTTTTTGT